CTGTAGCTGACCCCGAGGGTGTTTCATTTCTAGTAACTTCCAGACCGTTTACATAAACGGTTTCTCGAGGCCTTCACTATACAAAGCACTCTTAGCAAAAATTAATTTTTTTCGAAACGAAGTCTGTTACACAGTTCATTGCCTTTAAAAGTTGAGATACAGCTCCTTCGTGAAAATGAATCTGTTAGCGTTCTTAGGGTTTGATTTAGCATAGAAGCTGATTAAAAGTTGCGATGATCTTGATTTCGAGGGAAAACAACTATTAATGCTCTGTGGTTGAACGTGATTTGCGAATCTCCCAGTATGCATTATTTTATTGAATTCTTTGAAAGTTGCTGTTCTGTTGATTCGAAAGGCCGTCATCGAATCAGAATCGTCTATTTTGCACAGTATCATATTGCATATTTTAGTTCACTATTTGTTACAAGTGATAGCTTTCTGCACGGTGGATTTCCTCCATGTAAGGAGTCGAAAATTTTGTCAAAATATTCAATAGACATTTGGCGAGCAGAAGTATGCAGGAGTTTGCTGCATTGAATTTGTTGTTTAGAGAGCTTTTTCGCACAACGCTAGCCCATGAATCAAGCACAAAATCATTTGCACAGGCCTCACCTATTAGCTGTACGTATGATATAGATTAGCTTAAGCTACAAAATGCCCAGTATTTAATGCGTTTCGTGTATTACAGAATCAATCTGATACCAGTTATGGTTATATGATCTTCGCTTCTGTTAAGTAAATCGACAATTTTGGTCAGCGTTAATCATAATTTCAAGTACACCATTTCGGTCAGGATTTTATATACGATTCAGACAAAAAGATCGCTATTTACTTCTAGCTTCCTTTATACAGTTATGACTTCGCAAGCACGTACTTTAGCGAAAGAGATGAGGAAGGCTGAAATGGCCATTTCTGACTAATTAGCCTTGCATCTCTTAGCCATAACTAAACTCAGGTGGTGCACCATCTGAGGCTCGAACCTGCGAACGGTTTATTAGAAGTCCAATATTCTAACCATTTGGGCCACAGGATTGTTGTTCCGCCGGTGTCCATCACGAATATTATTATTGTGGATGAATGATCACTGATTAGTCAAGGGACTCAGTTCTCCCGTTCTATCTTGGGGCTCACTCTCGAGTCCCGCCAGCAGTCACACCACAGCTAGTATTATAGAAAGGAAAACTGCTGTCAAAGACAACGCACACTTGAATGGCTATTTCTGGCTTAGTCGTCGTCATCAGCCAGTCATATCCAACCCCAGGTGCTGAATCTTCGGTTGATTTGAAAAGACAAAAAAAGCGACAAGAAAACGAGTTCGTGGCCCAATGGTTAGAGCGTTTGACTTCCCATCTAGAAATGTTCATTCCAGTCTCTCTTGTCTTTCTCGCTATGCGGCCGTTGGTGGGGCTCAAGAGTCAGCCCAATTGCAGTACAGAATGAGCAATTCCCATAATCGATAGATTAGCGTGCCCATCCACCAACAGGCTTTTTTACTCGGTCTGGAGAACGCAGGCTCTTATGCGATTAGGTAATAAAGCACCAGTTCATTAGTTTACTTAGCACAATAATTCCTGACGCTGGCGACCAAAGGAACTAAGTCCCATCGCATAGCTCGCTGCCACTTTTTGGTCCGGGAATCGCTTCACTTAACGCAGCCTTTAAGTGGATTAGCACAATACCTCTGCTTTTTTTCCATCACAGGCGCACGCGCCACAATGGTGGACAACCGTTCGAGCTCATCATGTTCCCCGCAGTGTCAGGACCACCTTAGGTATAATACGGGTTTTGTTTGCAGTGGCCATTTGGAGTTCCATAACT